TGGTTACGGGCATGCCTCGAAATTGAGGTACGCATACTTAAAATTTTATATAAAAAATATGTGTAAAATAATTTTACCTTCGTGTTTAATTATCTTAATTTGAATTCTCCTACATGCACTCTCCACATTGTTTATTGTGCAGCATGTAGAATGCACTTTGATTATATGTTTAATTTTTTTAAAAAATAGATATTAACTAACTTAATCTCAAATTTTTTACTATAAAAAAATTTTTTTTTTTAATTCTCCTACATTAATTTTATAAGTCATTTTCATGGGGGGAAAAAAACAAAACAGACAGTAACTTTGTATGAAAATAAATATAATAAAAAAATAAATTTTAATAATTAAAAATAAAAAAATAAATTATCAAAATTTTATATACATATAATATATAAAAATTATACAAATACCATTCTCCTCTTACATCTTCATTGCACAAAAAATGAGCTACGGAAAAAAGAAAAAAAAAAAAGAGAGAAGCTACAATTCAAACAGAAGCAAAGAATCTCTCAGTTTCCTAAAGATTTCAGAACCTAAGCCACAGCTTTACTTAATTAGTTAAGAGAAGGATGTAAGTAATTACAGAGCAAAATGATCCTCATATTTTGGTTCAGGCGCACGCTTCCCTTCTTGGCACGAAAGCGAATAGAACCTCCAGATCAGGTGGCTGAAAGAAGCCGTTCTTCGGCGGATCCCGCTTCACGTACGCCGGTTCTCTCTTCTTCATCGGCGCCGGTGGACAGGGAGGTACTACAGGTATCCGAAACGCCGCGTGCCTCGGCGTCCTGCACCCTTCGTCGCAATCGTAAGCCTCTTCCATATGGTAACTCAAGAGTCTAACGATAGAAACAAAATTTCCCCCCTTTTGGTTAAATAAGGAAGGGGAGAAGCCAGCTTGTTCGGGAAGTTGCCTTTGACTTACCTAAGCGTGTGGTGAAAGGCAGTGGAGGTCGGTCGTGTGGATCCCACTTGACGGGAAAGCTCTCACCTGGTTCCCTGAAAATGCCAGGTAACTAGATGATTTACAATTTATAATTTGTTAACTCTAATAGACAGCTTAATAGTTAAATATTTAAAATTT